CTTCATTCATATAATTTATTTTTTTTTTTTTTCAATATTTTTCTTTATTACAAAGAGTTTCCCTACCGCTAATAATATAACACACAGCACACACACACACATACACGCTCGGAGTATCACAAGTCGCGCCCCTTAACACAACCGCTATCACCTCTTTTTGCTGTTTTTGTGATTATTTTTGTTGATCTTCTTCTTCTTGCAGATCATGTCGTACAGGGACTCCAGACCGTCTTCGAGACCGTCCCCGATTATTGCACACGATGGTTGCACGTGGTACAGCTGCGCCGGTCCGAGGTCTTTGAGGCCCAGGACCTTCTCCACCTGCCGGAGGAAGGAAGGAGGGGGGCGGGGGTGTGTGAGGGTGGTGAAGGGAAGGGACGGGAGGGAGGGAAGGGGGAGGAAAGAGGAAGGAGGGGGAGAGGGAGGGGAACGGGGAAAAGGGAGGAGGGAGGGAAAGGAAGGTGGGGAGGGAGGAAGGGGGGAAGGAGGGAAGGAGGTGAAGGGGAGGGAAGGATATGAGGGTGCGGAAGGAGGGAGGGAGGGAGGGAAAGAAGGGAAGGGAGAAGGAGAGGAAAATTAGGAGAAGACAGAGAGAAGGGGTAAACAGAGGAAGGGAGAGAGAGAATATGGGGTGGAAGGGAGAGATAAAAAATCAGATAGAGAGAGAGAGAGAGAGAGAGAGAGAGCGAGAAGAGAGAGAGAGAGAGAGAAGAAGAGAGAGAGAGAGAGAGAGAGAGAGAGAGAGAGAGAGAGAGAGAGAGAGAGAGAGAGATAGAGACAGAAGAGAGAGAGAGAGAGAGAAGAGAGAAGAGAAAGAGAGAGAATAGAGAGAGAAGAAGAATATAGACAGATAGATAGAGAAAGAAAAAGTGAGAGAGAGAGAAGGATATCAAATGAGGAATTGACCCGAGGGAAAGTGAAGAAACAATAGGAAATTTCAGAAGCACGCAAAGGAAATACCTGCAGGTAAGGAGTCAGACAAACCGAGGCAAAGTAAAATGCAAGAAAAATAGGAAAATAGAGAAAAAAGGAAAAAAAAGAACCCTTTAGAAAAAAAAAAAAAAAGAAATGAGAATAAAGAAAATCTTCAAAGTAAAATAAAGGGAGAAAGAAAAAAAAAATATATATATATATTCAGTAATATATAATGAAGAAAAGCAGAATGGAAAATATCTATTTAGCAATATATAATGAAAATGAGAGATAGGTTCAAAATCTCTGCATAAATCTAAGTAAATTCAAGTATGTTGGAAATATATTTTAGGAAAGGATTAGAAAAGTGCTTGTAAAATCTCTTGTTTTCTTAGCCTCACCGCAGAACAATGTGTTCTTCCATCTCATCTAATTTGTTGACTCACTCAGACCTAATTTGTGATAAAATTAACCACTTCTAATTAACTTTAAAGTCATTTTCTCCACTTATTTATTTTCCAACAGGACGTTCTTTTAACTAAACTGACTCCATTAAATTATCTTCATTATCAAGCATTATTATACTTCAAAATCTCCTCTCTGTGTTATCATCTCTTAATCTCCTTCTCTTTTTTCTCCCTAACTCTCTCCTTTCTTCGTCTCCTCATTAACCTCTCTTCGTCTTTGCTTTCTCTACCTGCTTCTCTCGTTCTTCAATTTCTCCTTATCCTTATGCATTTCACCTTTATCACGTGTTTTGTGTTCGCTTTTTCTTGTCTATTTTTTTTCAGTGTTCTTTCCTCGTCTCTCCTTTCAATTCTTTCAATTCTTTGCTCTTACGTTGTCTCTCTTGTCTATTTTATCTATCGGTGTATCTAGCTATCTAAAACTGCGTTGTTTTTCGTTTATGTTTTATATTCGTATATCAATTTGTATCATCTATTTGTTTGATAATCTACCTGTCTATATGTTTATCAAGAAGCTGTCTACCTATTCTATCTACCTGTCTGACCAATCACTTCATGAGTATATATAATATGTCTTGTCTACTTGTTAATATCTATCAATCTATCAATGTCCCTATCTTGTCCTTATGTCATTATTTCTATCTATCAATATTTCTATCTATCAACGGATCTATCAATCGATGTTCCTATTTATCAACGCATCTATTTATCAATGTTCATATCTATCAATATTCCTATAAATGTCCCACTCAATCAACGTATATATCTATCAACATATCTATCTATCCGGTTCGCTTCCTCTTGCGTGTCTATCTATCAACGTATCTATCAATTAATGTTCCTATTTATACCAATCCCTATCTATCAGCCTAGTTCGCCCCCTTCTTACCCCCCCCCCCGCCCCCGTGTCTATCTATCAACGTATCTATCAGTCAATCTTCCTGTCTATCACTATCCTTATCTATCAGCCTAGTTCACCCCTCCTTACCCCCCCACCCCACCCTCTCCCCCGTGTCTATCTATCAACCTATCTATCTAACACATCCCCTATCTATCAACCTAATCAGCCCCCTTCTTACCCCTCCCCCCACGACACACACACACACAACACACACACACACACACACACACACACACACACACACACACACAAATAAAATCATAAATAAAAAAAAAAGAAAAAAGAAAAAAAAACACGCCAATTTACCTGCGCCGCGTCCTTGGCCCCCGGGAGGTCCTGCTTGTTGGCGAGGACGAGGATCGGGACGTGGTGGTTCTCGGCGCGCCTCACGGTCCTCATGAGCTCCATCTTGGCCTCGTCCATGCGTTCGCGTCCGTAGAGTCCACCACGAACACGATCCCGTCCGTGCAGCGCGTGTACGAGCGCCAGAGAGGACGCAGCTTCCTCCTGGCGCCCAACTCCCACACGAGGAAGCTGGTGCCTGGGGGGAGGGAGAGAGGAAGACGGTGGTCGGGGTGCACCGGTGGAGGGGGGGGGAGGGGGGGTTGTGGAAGGGGAGGGGTATGCTTGTGGAGGGGGGGAGGTGGAAGGGTGGCTTGTGGAGGGGGGGAGGTGGAGGGGAGATGGGGAGAAGGTTGGGAGGGGTGCATTGGTGGGGGGGAGGGGGGAGGTTGGGGGGAGGGTGGCTTGTGGAGGGGGTGGGGAAGAGGTGGGCGCAGGGGGGGAGGTTTGGAGGGAAGGGGTGGCATTGTGGAGGAAGGGGGTGGCTTGTAGAGGGGGAGGTGGGGGAGGGCGTAGGATGAGGCGAGAATGGGGGGGGAGGGGGGTTGGAAGGGGAGGTAGGGAGAGGTTGGAGGAGGGGTGATGGCTTTGTAGACGGAGGAAGGGGGAGGTGGAGGAGGGGAGAGAGTTGGGTGTAGGGTGAGGGTTGTGGGGGAGAATTGGGTGGAGGAGGTGGAGTGGGGTTGTATGGGTGTGAGTCCGTTGGGGGAAGAAATGCGGGGCTTGGAGGCAAGGGTGGTATGGGGGGGGGGATGAAGGAGGGGTGGGAGTTGTATGGAGTGAGTTTCGAGGGAAAAGGAATTAGGGGTTGTGGGGAGAAGAGGAGAGGAAGGGGGGTGGGGGTTGGGGGTTTGTGTGCGTGTGGGTGGGTAATTTCAGGGTTGCGGAGGGGGAGGGACAAGAGTTAGGAGGACGAGAAAGGAGGAGGAGGAGTCGGACTACAGAAGAAGAAGAAAAGGAAGAAAGGAGGGAGGAGCAGATAAGCAGGAGATGAAGAAGAGAGGAAACAGGAAAGAAGGAAAGGAAGAGAATAAGGAAAAGACAGAAAAGAAAGAGCAAGTGGGAAAAGTATAGAAGAAGCATGAAGAAGAATTAGGAAAGACATACGAAAAAAGGGAAAAAAAAGAAAAGGAAGAAATAAACAAGGAAGAAAAGAAAAAAGAAACTCAGGGAAGAAGAGAGAAGAACTGATCAACCAAATTAAAAATAAAAACACCGAATATTAATACCTGGCAACGATAACACTGACCCTTACCCACCGCCAAGCAAGAATGAAAAAAAAAAAAATACCATTAAAAATCCAACATGACTCCCCCAACCCCCTCCCAATCCCCGCCAGCCTCCCTCTGCCCATTCCAAAACCCCTTTCACGTAAACAGAACACCTCTTTCTTCCACGAGTACACCCTCCCCCCTTTTCCTCTCTTCTTACTAAAACGTCCGTTAATATATTCTCACACCGAACCAACGCTGGAGAATTGATGACAATAAGGATGCCCAATAAACGGTCCTCAAAGCTCTTTAAAAAAACTTTTCTAATTCCCGTGGAACCAAGATGGACGCTAGAAAAAAAATTCAGCGAAGAATCTTCTCGAAGGATCGTTCGTGCTAGGAACCTTATTTGGTATGATGAATTGTTGAGATAGATGACGTACAGATAAATAGATAAATAGATAAATAGATTGAATAGATACATAGGTGAGAAGGAAAACAGAGTGAGGGCAAGCGAGAGAGAAGAGAGAGAGAGAGAGAGAAGAGAGAGAGAGAGAGAAGAAGAGAAGAGAGAGAGAGAGAGGACGACAGACAGACAGAGAGAGAGAGAGAGAGCAGAGAGAGAGAGACCGAGACAAGAAGACAGAGAGAGAGACAGAAGAGAGAGACAGGAAGACAGAGAGAGAAGGAGACAGACAGAGAGAGATTTCGAGATAAGAAAGAGGAGAGGAGAACGGAAAAGAGAAAGAAAAGAAAGAGAGAGAGAGAAAAGAGAGGGACAGCAGCAGACGCGAGGACATGGAAGGGTCGCCGTGTCCATATAAGGCAAGAGTGGGAAAGAGGAAAAGTCGTCGGGAGCCACGGATGGAGGAGCGAGAATAACAGGAGAAGAGAAAGGCGTGTGAGAAAATAATGGAGAAAACTGACAGACACCGATAGACAGACAATGGCCAGACAACCGATAGACACAATGGACAGACATGGATAGACAGACAATGACAACAGTTAAAAAGAAAAAGAAAAAGAACATTTAAGGATTAAATACGAAACTTAATCAAATGTACAGACGGAGATTACGAAGAGAGAAAGAGAGAGAGAGAGAGAGAGAGAGAGAGAGAAGAGAGAGAGAGAAGAAAGAGAGAGAGAGAGAGGAGAGAAGAGAGAGAGAGAGAGAAGAGAGAGAGCAGAGAGAAGATGGGGGGGGGGGGGAGGGGGAATGGAAGCCAGAGGGAAGGGAAAGGAGGAGGGAGAGTGAAAAGATAGGGAGATTGAGGGAGAGGGGAGGGAGTGACGGGGAGTGGAAGAAGGAGGGAGGGAGGACGGGAGGAGGGAGAGGGAGAGGGAGAGGGAGGGAGAGGGAGAGAGAGGAGAGAAGAGAGAGAGAGAGAGAGAGAGAGAGGACAGACAGACAGGACAGACGACAGAGGGAGAGAGAGAGAGAGAGAGAGAGAGACGAGAGAGAGAGAGAGAGAGAGAGAGAGAGAGAGAGAGCAGACAGACAGAGTCAAGAAGACCAAGAGATCGACACAAACAGAGAGACAGACAGAATCAGAAACAGACAAGAGAAAAAAAGGAACAACCAAACCACGCAATATACACCAAATCAAAGCAAAAAAAAAGCAAAAAAAAAAAAAAAAAAAAAAAAAAAAAAACAAAATCCACCAAAACGATTTCTGGATATTTCTCCCAAGCGCCGGTACAGCTCATCTCCTCTTACGTAGGAAATGTAAACAGAAACCGTCACGGTGATGGATACAAAAAAATTCACATCGAACTTCGAAGGCCAAGCGTGAATACAGGGACAAGTTGCGAGTCACCGCCATCAGGTGCACACGGACAAACGCACAAACGGCGAGTGTAATAACAATGTAAGCCATCGCCCACACGAACGAACAATTGGCGGGAAGATTCTCTCTCTCTTTTTTTTTATTTGAAATTCCGCGTCACGGTTTCGGAGGTTCGTTCATTCAGAAAACGAAGGAACAGCTGTTGTATCTGCTCTCTCTCTGCTCTCTTCTCTCTTCTCTGCTTCTCATCTCTCTCTGCTGCTGCGTCTGCTTCTCTCTCTGCTCTCTCTGCTTCTGCGCTGCTGCTCTCTCGACGTTCTCGCTCTCGTCTCTCTGTCTGTTGCTCTCTCTCTCTTCTCTGTTCTCTCACCTGCTTGCTCGTCTCGTGCGCTTTCGTCTCTCGATTCTCGAACTCTATGCTCTTTCATCCGCACCGTGCAATGGTCTCTCTCTCTTCTTCTCTCCCGTCTTCCTCCCGCTCTGGCTCGTCTCTCATCTTGCTCGTCTCTCTCTCTCTCTCTCTCTCTGTTCTCCTCTGCTCCAGGGTCTCTCTCCCTCTCCTCTGTCTACTCCTCTCCTCTCCTGCGTTCTCCGTCTCCTCTCGTCCTCTCTCTCTCCGTCCCTCC